AGTAAAATGCTCTATAAGAGTAAGAACTAAGGGATAGACAACATTTGTTGTCTCTTCACCATTTTCAGTCTTAACAGAGTTAAGAATTTGGTCTTTCTRAGAAAGGGGAATATAATTATCCCACCAACCTTTGAGTTGGCCTGTAAAACCAGCTATAATCATTTTGGCAATACTCTTATCATTATTGCCTGTGTTCTTGCAAACTGTACTATACATGAACATGCGATGTGCCATATTATAAATATGCTTATCAGCAAACCCATCAAGGTTCCATTCATAAATACATTTACCATTATAACTATTATTAATAATGTACTCCTGTTCTTCATGAAGAACATCCATAGGACTAGGGCGATTATAATAATATTTATTAAGATTCGGAGTCTTAGCCCATTTTATTTTATGAATTTGGTTATTATGTAAACCATCATCCGAATTTTCTAACCTAGAGCTAGAAGGAAGATCCTTATTGAGCATGGAAATGGATGGTTTAGAAATATKCAAATGAGAAAGCTTTAAATCAAGCTGTTTCATAAAATCTTCAGCCGGGGATTTGAGYTTGAAATCAGTGATTTCAGGAGGAGGCTGAATAGTATTAGAAGTTAAAACAACTGTCTCAGAAGAAGAGGAAATATCATCAGCAGGAAGACTAATTTGATTTTGCAGATTTGTCTCACTCTTATAGGATTACCAGAAAGCTTTCTTGCAGCTCTTAGAGATGGAAGAAATCTTAATTGGCAACAATCCTTAATTGGAATGATTCAATCCAGTTTGGCCCATGGCCCTATTTATTTTGATGTTTATCCTAATCTCAGTTTATCTTTAACAGATGTTAACCTTCTGGATGCTTTGACATTAAATGTTAAAACTCATGGTTATAACTATTCTGCAGGAACAGAAGTTTTCTGTATTTGTTATAGAATCTATTTCAAACCTTTATTTACTCTTAATCCTAGATGTAAAAGAGTTGATAAGGATATTAATGAGACTATTCTCATAGAAACCAATTTTAATAGATCTAAAATCCAAACCCGTAGATCTATCAAATGGGATGAAATAGTTTTCCCTGAAGGATGGTTTCTAGATAGAAATATTCCTAGACAACCGATTGTCCAAAGTGATTTTAGTAATATCACGCAGACAGATGATGGAACTGTCTATATCCAATTCGATGATCCTCGCAATATTCCATATACAGAAACCAGACCTCTTTTAAGGTCTCAATCTTTATCTCATGGCATTCATAGCTTTATTTCTCCTTTTGGGGCTAAAGCTAGCCAGCCATCTTTAGTCCAGCCTTCTAGGGCTTCAACCTCATATTTACGTGATACTCAAGCTCAATCTTCTGAGCCAGAAGAGCATATTGAATCCTCTTCTCAGCAACCTTTTGATGAACTTAGAGTTCATAAAAATGGTATTGTTCATAACAATCCAGTTGCTCAAGTAAGTAACAGACAACCTCATAGGGTGGTAGAGACCATGTCTGATTTTAATCTATAATTTTTTTTAATGATTTTTTCTTCTTCTAGGAGTTGGGTCACTAGTGAGGGAAAAATAGATTTCACTCATGGTTCTCCTGCTAGACAGCTTGTCTGCAATGATTATTATGGTAATCCAAAATGGGCTCCTTTTAGGATCTGGTATGTTGAAAACTTTTCAAAGGATGAAATTGCTAATTTCTCTGCAGAATTTTATGCCTTCTGCACTAAGGAGAATGAAACTTTCTCTTTTATTCCCTGGTTTTTCCATACTCATGTAAAACATTTTATAAATGTTCTTCAAAGGGATTACCAACTCCTTAATGGGGATATTAAATCCACTATTTATCCTCCTCAGTCTCCTTTTCTTATGAAAAGCAATAATTCTTTCTTCCGATTCTCTGCTTTTTCCAATCTTATAAAAGATAATACTCTTACTGTTACTTCGTTACATATTAACGAACTTCTTGAAAAACAGAATTACTCTAATCTTTTGTTAAAAATTATTGGAGAACAACTTTTTTCCATTGAGGATAATATTTCCTTAATTTTAAAAAAAGTCTCTCAAATTGAGACAAAGTTATATTATATCATCATATTATAATAAATTTTATTTATTTAATTTTAATTGAAAATTAAAAATTAAAAAAATGATAAAAGGACCAAAAAGTCCCTAAGCTAATGGATCTCTTTTAACAACGTTAATTAGCAGAAAGCGAGAAACAAAAGTAAATAGATTGGCAACATAATGACCAAAACTGTAATTAGTTCAAGATAAGGAGTAAAACAAATGTAATTTGCTCCTTTATAAATCTATTAAAACAAAATATAATAAACTGATTAAAAACAATAATTTTATAAAACTCGAGACAAAAACATGAGTTTTTTCCTTTTAAAGATACGAGCTCTACAAGAACTTTTGATTGCATAAGAAGGTGCAATCACAGTAGAGATTATGGATGTAAACGAGCCGAGTTAAGTCGAATAGCAGGTTATTCGAGCTCGGCTCGAAAATGTAAAATTAGGCTGCACTCGAACTCGAATATTTTTTTGGATGTTCAAACTTGAGCTTAGAGCTCATGTAACGTATTTGAATTATACGTTGTGCCTAAAATTCAAAATTTATAAGCTCAATTATGGACTCAAACGAGAGATCGATTAACTCGTTTATTGGCTCAAGCTCGAATGATTTGACTCAAAATATTTAATCGAACTTTTGAACGAGTCGAGCGTAACATTGATGTTATGAAACTCGACTCCTTAAGTTAAACGAGTTTTATGTTGTGTTTGAGACATTACACGAGCTTTGAGTTTGATATAAACGAGATTAATTATTGTGTTTTACTGATTTTTGATAGATTTGATGTAAATGACGTCAACTACAAATTGCATACTATTTGTTTATTTTTATTTTTTCTAACTTTATCCAAAAAATATAAGGGGTTGTTTGTTTGGCTCTTAATGGTGACATTAAGAGCCAACCTCTTAATCGGTCAGAGGTTGAGGTTGTTTGGCAAAAAAAAAATGTCTCTTAATGGTTACAATCCCCCTCTTAACCATTTTGTATCTAGGGTACCACTAAACCATTCAGATTACAATTCTTCTCACTTTACCCTTCCACACCCTTTACCAGCTGCAGTCATCTTCTCCAGCTGTAGTCATCGTCTCCTTCCCTCTCGTCGCCGGTCTTCACAGCCCCTCCCCCCACCCTCTCGTCGCCGGTCTGCAAATCGCCACCCCCACCCTACGATCGTTTGTCGTCGTGGCCTCTCGTCGCCCCCGCTCGTCACCCGCTCTCGTCGCCCGCCACTCATCGCCACTGCTCGTTCCCGATGTCAGAAACGATAATCTCTTGAACCCGTCGCCTTCGTCCCCTTCCCCAGATCGGCCGGTTTTCGCCAGTGACCTCCATCGTCTCCATCGTCGGCTACCTCAAGTGTCCCTGAATTTTCACTAATATTGCCTGCACGCATTCCAAATCTTCACAGCTCTTCGAATCAAGTCGTCATTCTCCCTAAATCGAACTGCACATATACCATTTGATATACACTGATGGTCAATCCGTTGGATTACTTGAATTTGTTGAATGATTACAATCTCCACAGGCTTTCGAGAGGCATGGGACTCCCAAAACGGTTTCTCGCTCAACCARTGTTCACAAAACAGAATGCCTTTCCCTTTAATCCCCTCAATTATGTTGGTTTGGATTATGAAAAATCTTGTTTTGAACTAGTATCGTTATGTTTGTTTGGATTAATATGAAATACGTGTTTTTGTTGAATCGAATTCGAATAATGGGTTTTTATTAGATGAGGGTTAAAATGGTAATTTATTGTCATTCAGATAACAGTTACCAAACAACATTATTTCATTTAGCACTTAACCATTCTGACCCTCTTAACCATTCTAACCTCTTAATTATTCTGCACTAAATTATTCACCAACTGCCAAACAGCCTCTAAGATGTTGTTTGGTTCATATAATGGAATATGTCAAAAAGAATTGAACTGGAATTTCATCATGTTTGACCATGTGTTTGGTTGACAAAAATTTGAATGAAAGCTAATGAAAGAATTTGAACCTGTTTGTTTGGTTCTTTGAATGTAATAGTGGTGGTGAGGTAGATGTGGTAATGGGGTCAGTGGTAACGGTGGTGATGATTGTGGTGACGATGGCGGTGGTGCTGACGACTGTGGTAGTGGTGATGGTGACAACGACATCGGTGGTGGGATCATATTTGCTTTTGTACTTCATTCTTCCTCGTACAAAGAAAAGAAAAAAACAATCTTGATCCTGCAAGATCAAGTGTGCAACTTATTTTAGAGCTGTATTGAGGAAGACATTTTGTTGCATATCATTTGATTCAACACCCAATGGGCACTGGTGACAATCTGGTATTATTTACTGATTGAAATGGTTCTTGATTGCTTCAGGACATTATAATGTAGTTTGAAATGGACTACAAACGATGACATCTCAATAAGAGATGCTTCTTGAATCAGTATTTGACTTGCACATCGATGTACATTACATATGTTAAATGAGTAGGGTTGTCCAACAGTTGTCACTTTGTTTTATTGGGGTATGCAGATGAACCCAAATGGAATATTTGTATGTTATGTAACGTTCAGATAAAAAAATAAAAAATGATAAATTTTTGCCAAATTTGACATAATAATTATTTGTGTTTTTGTGTAGGAAAAAGTAAATATTTTCCGTATAATCTATGTTAGGTTGGTGTTTTGCGTTCCTGTTTAAAAACCATATTTTTGCTTGTTCATTGCTTCTTCAAAGTCATTCTATGACTAGTTTGCATGAGATACTTCATTATTGTTGATGCAGGCTTGGACGTGGAGAACTAGGACCGGGCCCTAATGTTTATGGAGGCCCATGATCGGGCTATCAAAAAGGGGAGCGCTTAAAAAGCTATAACTTTGGGTGTCCGTTTCAGGTCCACGGCCAGTCAATATGAAGTGTGGAGCTAAGAGCACACCATGGTTAGGCCCAAAGAGGCCCGACGGACTTTTGAACCTCGAAAATGTTTTTTAAGCATGATTTTTAGGCATTTTCTTGGTTTTTACTTGTTTTTTTGGCATTTTTGTTGGGCTTATTGTGTAGACATAGGAATGAGACTCGTCCCATTGGGAACCCGGTGTACCTGCCCCAACGGGGACGAGGATTCCTTGCATAATCAGGGACCGGGGATGGGGACAGGGATCCCCGAAAGTTAAAACTGGGGATGGGGATGGGGATGGATCCGGGTAACTTGGTCCCCGCCTCCCCGTCCCGTCCTAGAATATTAAATATTATATATATTATTAAATATATAAGTTATAAAGAACTAGTTGTGTAACCGTGCAATGCGACGGAAATAATGAATGCAAAGGATTTTGAATCGTGGTGGTTTTTTAAGTAGATTTTAAAACATTACGAATATATGATTTGCATTTAGTCTGTATAACTTAATTCTTTTTCAATAAATAAAAGTTATGGTTCCAATTACAACGTCAATCAAAAATTGTATGATAGTGCAAATCGAATAAAACAAACTATAATATAATAACAACATCATCCAATATAATATAATTACGTTAAAGGACACAATAGATTGGAGAGAATAAAAACTATAAATTTTCATTAATCATAAGCCGTTTAAATAAGAACAATTACATAAAAAAATGATATTCTTAAGCCCACTGTTTAGTCCTCAGTATTGCTACATCTTTGAAATCAACAGCCAGTAATTTCTCTAGGAAGTTGTAGTATTATCCAGATATGCAAAAGTTAATTCCAAAGCACAATGTAGCTTCAAACTATACTATAGTCCTAATACTTCACAAAAACACTAAATATTATTAAACCAACATAAAAGAGACTCAAATGGACATGTTGGGCAAATAAAATAACACAAAAGAGTAAGAAAATAGATGTAATATGGTTAATAAATTAACATCTATCAGTTTGTAATGAATTTGATACCATGTTTCATACCATTATGATTTGTAATGCTACAACATTATTTTTATGATTTGCATGTTTATGGTTACATGCTATTTGTTTATTATTTAATTTGTTTAATAACAGGTATGGTAGATCGAAGTCGTAATAGAAACTATCGAAATTGGACAAACTATTGGAGATGCCAAATTTGTGGAAGTTTTGGTTAACATGGACAATACCGGAGGATTTAAAGCTGATAACGACTTTAAATGTGGATATTTATAGCATCTCGAACAAGTGTTAAAAGAATTAGTTTATGATTATGGTATATTGGATAAACCGCACATTGAATCAAGAATTATAATAATGAAAAAGGCACATGATGAGGCGGCAAAATGTAAAAACAAGACATTTCCATATTCTGAAGATTTGTTGATTTTTTGTTGTTGGAAAAGATAGAGCTCAAGGAAGTAGAGTTAGAGATTTTGTTGAAATGGAGGGACAAATGAATCTACAAGAACAAGAACAACAATCAGATGATACGAAAAATAGCCATAATGTACATAATGCTACATATATGCAAAGTGAATATGATTCAAGTTGAGACAGTAAGAAGAGGAAAACCGGAGTTGAGACTCTTATTGACGGAATGCATAATGCAACTCTCTTACTTGGGGAGGAATTTTAAAATGCATCGAAGAATATGGTAGATATTAAAATGGATATACAAAACAAGACTTCCATGGTGGATTTTGAACTTGCAAAAATGCAATCACTTTTTAGAGTGAACACGTTCATATCAGTGAAAGAGATAACAAGTGAGTTTGATAACGTGTTAATTTTTTGGAGTTTGGAAGAAAGAGAGCGAGAGGAGTGGTTGAGGTTTGTATTGGAAGGTTGGTTTTGATTATTATTTGAAAAATTCAACTGGGTTTTGGAAATAAGCTATGTAGTTAATAGTTTCAGATGTTATCGGATTTTAGTAATTTGTAGTGAATAGTTTCAGATGTTAGTAATATAAAGTATGTAGTGAACAATTTCAGATATTATCGAATACTAGTAGTGTACCCGCGCAATGCGGCGGGATGTGAAATTTTGAAAAGATGTAAACGGACATATAGATTACGGATAAAAACTATTAGACCATTT